GGTGGGTGGGGGGGTTCTGTGTGTCTAAAAAGGTCATTTTTGCGTGACGTAATTTACGAGCGACCCCTTAGTGTTCTTTCTTTTTTTTTTCTTGCTCTATTTTTACAGGGCCCTTAATTTCCCTTTCAGCGGATAAACCAGTAGACGTTGAATGATAGTAATCTGAGCTTTCGTTCGATCTCTATTTACTAGGCTACTTTGTGGCAGTGCATGTGGCTAATAACAGTAAAGGCTAATGTCAATTTTTGTCAGAATCCGAGACGGAGACTGAGAGGAATTGAATAAAAAAATATTAAAATAAATTTAAGTTTAAGAAGTGGGCCTTGGACTCTGAACCGGAATTGCTAATTTTGCCCACGGTGATTTCCCTTTAATCGACCGCTTGGCTTGTGTTACTATCACTGTTCGTGTAAAGCTCTTTACCATGACAGCAAATAATACGTTTATTCCTGTATTCTTGGCAAGCTGGCTGCAATTGATTGCACCTGACAATTGTTTTGAAGAGTTTTTCGTGAATTTTAATTTTTTTCATAGTGAGTATAGCCTAAAGATTGTTAAGTCACTAGGCTAACTCATACATAATAGACAATAGACAAGGCCCTAGTCCTAGGCCTAGTAGGACTGGGGACTAGTAGTTAGCGCCTTCGCCTTAGTTCAGTCTACATATTAATATTATTACTTACACCTTGCCTGCACACCATACGGCCCGTGGACCGCATGCGGCCTCCCAGCACCCACTTTGAAGCCCGCGAATTAAGGAAATATTCCTATATTATTTTAATAGTATTAATAGTTAATAGCTGGTATTCCCCCTTGGCCCCTGTCCTATTTTCTTTCCGCTGGCACACGTTTTTCATAAAGTATTACGGCCCACACAAGTTTTTCATAATAAAATATTACGGCCCGCCTTACATTTTTGACAAAAATTTTGAATTGTGCAGGCCTTACTTACAAGAGTGTTTTACTGTACACCATACATTAAATATCAACCTGGAATTTGTGCAGCTTTTATATGATCACTGAAGTGTATGGCACGGCTGTGTATGCTTTTTCACTGGATTTAGAAAACAAATATTTTTATATACAACCATTGAAAACTGGCGGTGTAATAAATTCAATGTTGGACATCAGAAAGCTAGCCCTGAAATCTTATTAACCATCTAACTTTAGAAACTGAGCAGCTCGGTTTCATTTTTATAATTTGTCGGTTACTGTAATATTAAGACCATGTAATTCGGTAGTAACTACTTTGAGTAGTAAACCATAATTAAAAATCCGTTAGTGTTATTGTGTCAAAGTTAAAGCAGTTGTGATCTTCTTCGTTGTATATGATATTACATTGTTTAGAGCCAAAATCTGTGAGAATATTTTAGGCTCTTCTATCTTATATGCTTTTGTATTTATTATTGAACTCCAGTTGGAAACTTCCTTTAACACACATATTCTGTTGAGAGTTTGAGGTTACTTTCTTAAAACCCTGGCTAGTACATTGGCAATCAGTTCCATCTTCTGAGCTGTGCCATATAACATTGTCTTCACATAGGGTCTCCCACTGCCCTGGCCTCCCCTGAAACATCTGATGAGGGACATTCGGTCAACAGATGCGCTAGTGTCTCTGGAACCAGGCTGCAATGCCGGCAGGTCGGATACCTGTTGTTGAAGTATGTGTTTAAGTGGGCAATGCTCTGATACCTATTGTTGAAGTATGTGTTTAAGGGGGCAATGCTCGGTACGCATTTGGGTTACTAGACTCTGCTGTCTGCGACCCAGCTTCCACCAAGGGTCTTGTCTGTTAGGAGACGACATGTTAGCGTATACACCTCTAGCCTTTATACTGTTTACTCACTGTCTGTTCTATTTTTGACGAAAATGGTCTGCCAACCAGTTTTTGATAGGAAGGTATGAGACTGGTACATCTGGCTGAGACTGGGCAGCCCTGGTTTTTTGCTAGAGTGTCTGCTTTTCCATTGCCACTTAAGTTAGCGTGAGCTATATTCCACTGCACTGTTACAGTTTCTCCGATGTCAACAATCTTGCCCAGGTCATTTAGTATGGCGCCAACTATGCCAGTGGTACCCGCCTCCTTACTCAAGATCTCAAGAGCAGATCTTGAGTCGGAGTAAATGATGATGTTGAGTACCACAAGCTCTCACCTCTGCAGAGTGTGGTACACACTTTCCAGGGCCCTGTGGATAGCCTCCAGATCCGCATCACAATTCGATGCTGTAGTCCCATAGGGCCCTGAAAGTTCCTCATTAGGAGGCCCTCCATTTGGGTAGAGGATGAGCCCACCATAACCCACATTTCTTTCTCTTATATTGGTGGACCCGTCAGTGAAAAATTTCAGAGGTTCTCACAAGCCCTTCCCCGGTCTCCAAGGCAATCATTTTCTGGACATGTGCAGAGCTGCGCTTGATCACTGTTGTGTCGGTCGAAGCCAAATGTATAGTGGGATGAGTAGGTTCTGCATACAGCAGATTGGCCGGGATGCGGGTCAGACTTTCTCTATTTCGGGGTAGGTTGACTGTCTCTCAAGTTCTGCAACTTGAAGCATAAAGGACGAGCCATTCAGCCGCCTACCTGGTTCCCAGTTATTTTGCATTTGAAATGATGGCTTCTTCATATTTAACCGCCTGTACCTTTCTACAGAGTTAATATAGCTGTGAAAAATTTATAGTGAAAAATGAGGTTAAATGTTGACGGTAAGCTGAACTCAGTAACTTTGTCAAGACTGACATGACAAAATGTTACTTGGTTAATTTAAATACAGGAATCTGTATTAACGCAAGCTTAATTAACTGAAGAATTATGTCTAATTACATATAAATTGCTGTCAAATTCATCATCTGAGTAAATTTTTTAAGAATGCTCCTAAGCAGTGTAAAACTACGATACTCAAAATTTATGAAAATCAGACTTGAAACAAGCGATCTACCCTTTGATTAGTGATGCAAACATGCTAAAAATGTGTGCTCAGCGAAGGAGAGATAATTCATTTTTATTCATGTGTTTAAAACATAGATAAAAATGAAGAAAAAGTTATATATTATCCTTCTTTTGAGTTTTCCTTTTTTTTTCTGTACCGGTACAATTTTTAATGCTTTTGTAAGTTTTTTGTGACTTTTTGAGGTTTTTGAACCCACAGGTTGGCATTTATGCTGGACACGGTACTTTTGGTGTTGGAAAACCCAACTTCAGGGAAAACATTAATGGTGAACACTTATATTTTTGAACTACTTTCTATTTCTTGTTGTTTCTTCATTTTTCCTGTCTGATGAGAAAGGCTCTTGGCCGAAACTTTCTTCTTTTGTTGTCCTGTCTTTCTATTTCAAGCTTCCACAAACCTTGTTCTACTATTTCCATCACACAGTTTGAACACAGTCCTTCATTTATTTCTGATAGTACTGTTAGTCTAAGTCAGGAGCACTCAAACTTCTCCAGATTTTTTGTTTTGGATGTGCCCAGAGGGTCAACCCCCTACCAAGGGCAATCCCACATTTGCTTTATGCTTACAGAAATGACTATTAACATTTTTTAAATCATGGTAATTTTCTTGTTAAAGTTATGCTGATAAATTAAAAAACATTGAATTAACTTTATTTTAAAACTGAAATTCAAAACTGTTTTATTTCAAAAGAAAATAAGTAGTCTAATTTTTTTTCCTTGTGTGCTGAAAACTGTCAGTCTGAGTAAAGAAATTGTGTTTCACAAATAAAAGTCTGTTAGTGTTATTATATTGAGTATGAAAACAACTTTGTTTGATGATTATCATTGATCAAAATGTCTCATATTTTTAATTAGTCAAGACTCTAACTGCTCCTCTCCTGATTGTTGGATGCTTTCATTCTGCACCCACATCACATCAGGAGACTGCTACATCCTTGTCACAAAGCTTCAATTTCAGATGTTTCATCTTCCTGGATATCAGCTGTATCACATTTCGAGCTGAAGAGCAGCTTGACTGGTTGTGGTAAATGTGGTTGTGACTGGCAGCTGCCCAATCGACATTAGGAGGGGCAATAAGTGGATCTTTAACAAAAAGGATATTCCTGTCGGTACTTTAAAATCTTTAAAAATTGGCTTAAAAACCCATCTTAAAATTTGTCTATGCATGCAATCATCAATGGTCTAACCTGATCAAGGTGTTCTTTTGTCACAAAATGTACAGACTCTATGAAAATGCAAAAGCTGACTTGATTCCAAATCACTGGCAAATGTTCATTCTGAATGGAATGACAGTTGGTTGAACCTCCATGAAAGTCATAAAGGTGATTAAGATAGCCAGTAATATCTATCCAGAAAGCAACTGTGGCCACCTTGTCCATATTTGTGCAAAACTCCACTAACCACCAGAGCATTCTTTGACTTTTCTATTTTGAAAAAACTCTTTCACATTTTCCAAAAACCTTTGCTTAACCGACTTACATCAGTTTACATAGCAAATGTTCTGCACATGAATAAAATATATTAAAAAAATTTTTTTAACTGTTGATGCTGCAATGATGAACTGATTCTTATCAAATTTATAAGTTTCATGACTGTTGCCATAACTTAAGTACAGTAACTGCACAAATTTGAAAATATAAATGATTGATGAATGATGCAGTGATACAATTTTAATTTCATTGGAACTGCCTTAAGACAACTAGGAAGTCCTCTTTTACGGGGATTGGTAGGGGTTTTAAATATTTATGAATGGCCAGTGGACCAGACTTTGAGTATCACAGGCTAAGTTATAATTCTAAGGTTTGTGTTAAAAATTATAGTGTGTATTGACAGGCCTACTTGTACAGTTTAGGCTTTTTAAGTAGTAGGCTTATTAGACTGCTAGTATTAGCCTAGGCTGAGCAAGATGGGCCCTAATCATGGTACATAATATGCAATGGACAGAGATGGGTACTCTATTAGCTGAGTTAAGTCTAAAACACATAAGGCCCATTTGGGATGAACAAGGATTGACTGGAGTTTAATTTAAAAAGTTGGGCTTATACTACCGGTACTTATAGTTTACAGCAGAGTTCTGCATTCAGTGTGTGCTGTGAGCTAGAAAATTGATATTTTGTGCTTTGTAAATCATTTAATTAGCTCTATTCATTTTTATTGCATTAATATTATTATAAATTTTTGTTGTTGAAAATTTCACCAATCTGCTTATGTCTCTCAAATATTACTCAATTATTATTTTTATTATTTATCATCTCTCTTTACAGTGCCTTGTGCAAAAATCCTTATTAGTAAATGCCTTGGATATGGCATTATTTGTGGTTCATGTATAGGTAAGTATTTCAAGCAATGTTTTAAAAAATCAATCAGATTCAACAATCGTCTAAATAATGTAGATAAATAAGTTATTTTAAGTCTAGAAACATTTACATTCTCCTCCATCTGCATTTATTTATTATTTTTTTTATTGCAAATACTTTCATTGATTTTTTACCCACAGCATCAAACCCATTAGTATTAGCTTATAAAATTACAGTAGCTTGGAGTTTTTAAAACTGATACCCCTTTCTTCATAATTAAATACCCCCCTAAAGTATTAATTTCGTTAAAAAGAAACTAACTATTTTTAAAATATTTTTTAGTCAAAGTCCCACAGATTTTAAAGATTTTCAAGGCGAAAAGTGGAGATGGTATAAGTTTAACTAGTGTAACCCTTGAACTTGTTGCTATTTCTGCTTCTTGGGCATACGGGAGAGGAAAGAATTTTCCCTTTTCGTAAGTATTCATTTCATTCATCAGATGTAGATTCATGCTCAAGTTTAGCAACTAGGAAATACCAATGCCACTTACAATGGACCAACTACACAAAATGTGACCTGACTATGTCTTATGTACTGTATTTGAGGCAGAGACCGATTGCGACAGATTTACACTGGCACCAGTTGTGACCCAAATTTACAATGACACCCGTTATGACCCAGCTTTACACTGGCGCTGTGGTGAATCAGCTTTACACTGGGACCAATTGTTAATTAAGTTTTGCATTGACATCAGTTATAACAAATAGCTATACTTTGAGACCTGTCATCATTGTGAAATAAATTCCTGTAGGCATGTGCAGTCTAAGCCTGTCAAAATAATATGCAAAGAAAGTGACAACATTTTGAAATGTTTTAACATTGTTCACAGGCTCTTCATTTCTGTATTTATCAGACTGTAAGGTGAAGGAAAAAAAACTCCTTCACACCATCATCCAAAAGTGAAAATCGGATACCTTTTCTTAAATAAATAGAAAGAATGATGTTGATGAATTTATTTTACATTTCATTGCAGATCATATGGAGAGGCATTGTTTTTAGCTATACAGACCACCATGATTGCCTTTCTAGTTCTTTATTATTCTGGCCAAACAACAAAGGGCATAACATATGTGTCCACTTATGTAGCATGTATGGCTTTCCTCTTGTCGCCCCAGGCACCTGGCAGTCTTCTGGCATTACTCCAAGGAGGGAACATGATTTTGGTATCTGTTAGCAAGGTGAACAACTTTTTAAAATCAATAAAAACTATAGAGATAAATGCTATAACTGACAGCTGGTTAATTCTTCTGCCTGGAATTTTAGGAAATCCCATTTAAGTGTCAGTGTTTATTTTAATGTGTAAAACTGACCTATTTATTGCATCATTAAGACTATTTCTTAATAGTGGTAGGGGTAGAGATTCTCTCCATTGCTTCATATCTTCATTTGTGCAACTCTGGATTTAAATGTGATTTTTAATTTTAGATCATAAGAGCCAGAAGCAAGAATTTTAATGTTTCTTTTGCAAAACTCACACTATGCTCTGATTGATGAAGCTGATAATTTATTCCAGGGTGTAAGGGCATCGTCTCACAAAGGAACTTTCCTGTTGCCGTCTTGAGTTTAAACTTTATATTTTCAGATTAGGAGGCTCTGCCATTTAATTGAAAATAATAAAACTAAAAAAAAAGAAGGAATATTCTATTATCACTTATGTGAGCTCCAAATAATGTTTATATATCACACACGATATTCAAATCATGCCGTAATAAGCCTAATCATGATGCTATTGTTAAGGATGATAATTATAATAGCTGAGTACCCTTACTTAGCAACAGTGTTGGAGAGAATTAAAAGTATAATAAAACTGTACAGAAAGTAGTTAAAGTACTTTGAAATATAAAGTGTTTTGTTTTTGGAAATAAAAAAAACAAAACAACTTTGTACCATAATAGATATATATATATATCCATGGTGTAGGTCAAACAATAATCAGATTATTGGGTCGAAGCCCTTTGTGTCCACCACCATACCTGGCATTAAGATGTATGAAACCAGGCAACTGACTTGCTTAGATTTCACAGAGATTATCCATTCCATATACCTTGCCATCATCTTCCTGTAAATTCCCATATCCTATTAGGAGAAAGAAGTTTGAGAACTCCTCTGCTTTTAGATCCCTTGAGATGCACCCTCATGTTAACTCGCAAGGCTAGACTTCGACTTTAGACCATAGGTGGGATAACTTTATTTAGACATGCTCTGACTTGATTAGCACCCGTTCTTCATAGAAAGATGGGTAGTGTTTGTCTGAAGTCTCTGTCAAGTAGCACATTAATCCCACTCATAAGGCATTTAATATTCAGGATTTCGTGAGGAGTTCTGTCCAATGTTCTATTCCCCCGTTGTGAGCCTTGGTGCATTCATCCCAAACAAACAATTCGCCCTTCCAAAGTATGTGGGCTATTTCACACTGTTTCAAAAGGTGTCTCAAGTTAAGTTAAGTTGAGAGGCAATTTGAAGGCAGGGTGAGCTGTCTTTCCACTATCCAATGAAGTTGCCACTTTACATGAAGGAGCTACAGAAATCATAATTTTAAAAAAAAATTATTCCACTAAGAAGCAACAGATTATTCACTTGGCACCGTTCAATGAAAATGAATTACCATCAAATTAAATGTAATGCTTTGAACCAAAATCACTCATTGATAGGAACCCTATAGCTGGGTGGCCTCCCCTGTGGCCAAGTGACTGAGGCGAATGGTCCCATCCCCACTAATAAAATATCACATTAATTTCATTACCGGTACCCAGAACTGTTTCTGGGCCTTTTTGTAAAGTTAAGGTTAATATTTAAAACTTTTTGCAGACTTTATAGTTAACCGATGCCCATTGACTGAAAACACTTGTTTGGCCCTTTAAAAAAAGCTGATCAATCCCAAGTCTTTTTGGATGTTTAACAAATCTTTAGGTTATTTTATATAGTTTTTCAATGTCTCCTTTCTTTTTTTCCAGCTGATACAAGCAGTGGCAAACTACAGAAACAGCAGTACAGGCCAGTTGTCGGTCATCACAGTTTATATGCTGTTTTTGGGATCTGTGGCTAGAATCTTCACTTCAGTTCAAGAAACTGGAGACTCGATGGTCATTGCAACATTTTGTCTTTCTTCTGTTTTTAACGGTATTATTGCAGCTCAGTTCATTTATTACTGGCAATCTCACCCAGCTGTTTCTAATAATAACGCATTATCTAAAAAAATCGCATAGAAAATACTCAAGGTATTTATTTATTCAGTTCAATATTGTTTAGGATTATACAAGATTTTCTCACCATTCCCCTGCTTCCATTTGCTGGTTGGAAATTACATTCATTTATCATGATTTAAAAAAAGAATTTAAAAATTTCTCTTACTAGCAATGTGGTTAATGCCTTGTCAATGAAATGTCATGTAGACAACTTTGATGTGTAACATCAACAATTATGTGTATTGATTAGAGATCAACTTCTATAGTTCTATGTTTTATGTCATGGAGATCAACTTATTTGCTGCCTATTAAAAACTTATAAAGAGTTAAGTTTAAAATCACCAGTCTTTGTTTTGATAGTTATTTATTGGGGAGGTTGAGTTGCATTGATGCAGAAAGTAAAGCTCTTCTGCTTAGAGATAATAATAATAAAAATAAAGTTTACTTGAAAGACACGCTTCATCCCCAAAGACTGCCCTACCTAAACGTGACTGCATGAATATATTCATGACAGTAGCCTTGTTGCACTGGTCTGCCATGTTTCAATAATGACCTATTACTATTTGGTGCAACCAAACATCCAGTAGTGGAACTGGATCCATGGAACCTGGGCCCCCATTCAAAGCTAAGTGTAAAAAAACAGTATTTTTACACTAACCCATTCCCTAATCTCCCTTGTTCAGGTTACTATATAACAGTTTTATGCTATTTTCAACATAATACATTGCGTCCATTGTGATTGACTCAGAACCTGCATTAGTGTGTTCAATCCACTGTCCAGTCATGATGTGCACTAGCATGTGGCAGACCTCTGGCTAATTACTTAAGTTACTGTATCTAAAATGACCTAAACTAACTCAACAAATTTGAGGAGTCCTCGTTGGTGGTGGGAATATGCAAATATTGATCGTACCTGAATGATGGGAACATGGAATAACAGGTCTGCCAATTTTCTACTTTTACCAGCTACCAGATTGCTGTAGCAGGGGTGCTCCAAGTCTGGCCAGCAAGGTCATTTCAACTAGCCTGTCAGCCATTTCCCAACTTGTAATTAACTTTTCTTTAAAAAGCAGCCTGACGTGTCTCATGCAAAGCGATAAAATAAGAAATGGACGTTCATACAGGAACACCACTACCCCCGCCCCCATAGTCGTGGACTTGCTTTGGACAGTTAGTTGTCTTAAGGCAGTTCAACTTAAATTGATATCATTTCAGTGCATCATTCATTAGTCAGCTCTTTGCTCAAAACTGAAAATTGAATTTGCTGAAGTGATTGCAACAGACATGAAACTTAAATATTTCACAAGAACCAATTTAATTCATTATTGCAGCATCATCAACTTAAAAGTTTCTTAGATGAGTCATGAGCAGGATTTTCAATTGTACAAGGATCTAAGTTAGCTAAGAAAAGGAAGAGTGTTGGAGCGGTTATGAAAATTGGATTGAGCTTCTCAAAACTAAGTCAGTGAAGACTGGAGAGTTGTGGAATTATGCACAGATGTGGACAAGATGGTAACTGTTGCTTTTTTGTGGACATTACTGGCTTTCTTAATGAGTTTAATATTTAGTCCCAAGGTAAGATAAATTAAACGCCCCAGGCAGTAGGTCTGGCCATTTAGGCATGTCCAAATCCAAAATTTGGCCCCTAGACCGAAAAGTTTAAGTACCTCTGCTGTAGAGGCATATGGTGTGTTTCTGATTGAGAAGAAAAACCACAGACAACTCCGTATAAATTATTTAAGAAAAACTGAGCTATGCAACAATTTAAAAAAAGTCTAAATACTAGTAAATATTAATATGTAAATATGCCAATTCCAATTCATTTGCGGGTGGGGATACCAGTAAAAATGTTCAGTAAATAGCTACTTGCAGTGCCAAAATGTATTACTAATAGCTCTTTATGAAACATAACTGATACAAAAATAAAATACAGGGGTAACCTAATTAAGGTTTGTAGTTATTACTAGAGGAATATATGCTGACTGTTTAATTTTGGATACAGGGTGTTGACATGTTTTATTTAAATAAGCCTCTTACCCATGACCATTGTCTGCAGGTAAAAATAGCTTGCATTCAACCGTTTCCTTCCACAAATTCTCACTTTTTGTTGTTGGTTATTTGTTATCTGACATTTTAAAAAGTGGAATGCCAATTATTATAAATAAGGCACTTAAGTAAATGACCCACCGACAAGCTCACCCAACACCTTCCCAATATTGCATCATTAGCATTAAGGGCAAGATGGCTATATATGCTCAGGTGCTCGGACTAGAGTTTCAGGAGTGAAAGGGTGCCCTCATGGACTGCCTTAATAAGACTTCAATCTGATCAGGCCTGAGTCATTTAAGTAGAATTCTCTCAAGTAAAGACAAAAAAGGACAAAAAGGACAATTATCAAGTTTATTTACAATAAGTATTCAAATGTTCTCTAGAAACAAAGATTTTTTTCTATAAAAGTTTACAATGTTAGGATACAACACAGATGCAGTCAATATTTCAATTGACAGCAGATTTCATTTTCATGACTCGCAGCCCCTGTAACACCTCTCACAAAAAGATGATGTTGTACAGAGATCTATTCATAAGAATATGCCAGAAAGATGATTTTAGCAGTTTCTTTTCAAGAGTTCATTGTTTATCTACATATATTTATGAATTTCATTTAAATATTTACCTATGTTTTTCTACAATGATAAAAGAAGACAAGTTAATTGTTCACAAAATGAAATGTTATTTTTTTTATAAACTTAGGTTTTATAACATATTTTATTACAATTACAAGTAGTAATGAAAATGATACCTGGACGCAAAGTGGGTTGATATCTACAATGAATGATCAAAAGGATTCCATTTTCTTTTATTATATACAATAGTTATTTACATGTTCTAAATAATGAAGGAGTCCAAAATGACCGAAATAACAGGCTCAGTCACTTTCCATTTCTAAATGATTATAAACTTTAAAAAATAAATTAAAATTGATTAAACATTTACCGTAAATATTTCAATAGGTTCTTGGAGTTTTAATACAATACAGAACAAATAATAAACACTATATAGGTCATAAATATAAAAGAAAAAGTAACTCTTAAAATTACTTAAGGTACCATAATGCAATAGGTAATAACCATTGTTCATCAACAGACTGAACATTTATTTTATTTATTTAGTCATTTTTATATAGCGCTTATCATAAAGCTCTAAGCGCTTTACAATTATTAAAACATGTAAACTAAGTAAATACAAATGAGACACTAGGATAGTAACTACTATTCTATAGAAACAATGAAAATGGCTATAAAAAGAGGACACTTTGACACTTCAGGATTAAACCGAAACAGAAAATTAGGTAGGGCAAGGAGGGTGCATCACAGGTCATAGGCGGACCTAAACAGATGAGTTTTAAGGGACTTTTTGAAAATGGACGAGGTTTCACTATGACGTATATGGAAGGGGAGCTGGTTCCAGAACGTGGGCCCATGGAACATCAGACAAAAACAATGCATAAATAAAAAATTCAATCATGAAATTTTAGTGTTGGTCTCTGCCAACATTCCCAAAAATAACTTTTTATGATGATAGTTCCAATTACTTATTGAAAATGGAAAACAGTTACAACATGGATAATAATTCTGAGTTTTAAATAAATGATTTAACGATTTATTTATTTTTACATTATTTACATGAGAGATAGTCATGAACAACCAGTCAAGAGTCTTCACAACATTTATGATTACCAAGTTCCTACACCTGCTGGTTACATCAGTCAAAAGAATACAAATAAATACTAACAAGTTAACTCATGGAAGAGTTTATACTAAATTATAGTTATAGTATGGACAAAAAGTGAATGTCACGAGCCAATTAATTTCTTTTTTAGATGCTAAACTAGACTATAAACCAAAACCACCCCTAAAAAACTGAGACATTTTTTGTAAAATGTATTACCTGTCACAAGAATCGCTGTCACTCACATGTATTTCAAACTCCAAATGTTAATTTAACAGATATTACAAATATCGGGTGTCCGAGCGGTCTAAACTGTCTCAAACGAAATAGCTGGTGATCTGGAGTTCAATCCCCACCAAAGCCATCCCAAGCAACCCGGGTGGATGGGACTCGTTAGCCTTGGACGGCAACCTGTCTAAGAGAAGGCAATCTCTGAATTTAAAACCAGGAGCCAGAATGATCAACAAATTGATCGTGGGCACCTCAAATATAAGAAGAAGAAGAAGAAATACCAATTATTATACGGGTACAAGTTATGAGTTCTCCATTGTGAAAAGTTTACAACCACATGATACAAAAATTGTTTTATTCATTAGTCAATTTTGACATAAGGTAGGCCTATTTATGACAATAAGTTCAACAAGCTGATAAACTTTTTTTTTTGAAACAATTGTTTGCAATAATTTTTTGCTGAAAAAGTTGATAAAATAAAATAGTATGCAGCTTGTAAATAAATGGTGCCAACTCTTTAAACTTCTTAAATTGATCAAACTGTTTCATTGGTGTTTTGAAACATCAGTTGATTACATAAATTGACAAAATATAACAATATGCTTGAATGCATTTAGTATAATAGGATAGTAAATCCAAAAACTGAGTGTGAGCCCAGGTCACCCACCAAATATGCCAATGACATATCTGTAATATTTGAACTAGTCATTCTAGTAGTAGACAGTTCAATAACAAATGCTAAATCTGTAATAATTTTAACAGTGAAGATATCAAATTAAAAAAAAAGTATGGCTAGTTTGAAACTTAGAACTCTGCACCCTGTTACAAAATATCTAGCCTTTTCTTGAGAAAACCATGAGATACTATTTATGTCTCAGAGAGACAGCACCATTTAACACTTGAGCTTGCAGCAACTGTTGCAGCCCATGTACACACAGTGTCTCTGATCCTTATGATGTTCTCATGTTTTCTGTATCATGTTAATTTAACACACACAAAAAAGAGCCAATACACTGCATGTAAACATGCAGGCAGATGAGATAGACAATCATCATAGATTCATTTCATGACCGCTCCATAGGTATCAAATTCTTAAAGGCCATTCCATTATGCCTTAGCCGAATGTTATCATATGAGTATGACATCCATGGTCCTAACTAAGTCAGGGACCATTTGACCTCATATCAACCTACATGAAGAACTAACATAGAACAACATCTGGTATAAAAAATATATAAAAATATCAAAGCTTAAATAAAATGTACAACAACAGTAATTTAATACGTAGCATAAATGCATTTTTCCTTTCATTTAATATACAATCACATTTATCAATTTCTTTTATAAAGTTTATAATTTCGTTTTTTTCAGTGGATTCTCCTTTTAAAAGAAAAATTCTGGTTTGCTTTAAATATCAGAACTTTT